TAATACACAAACACTATTGTTGTTTCCCTGTGGAGTCTCGTATATTATTAATCAATCTATCAGCTCTATTTATCATTAAACAAATTTGTTAATCAGATATTTCCGAACAATTTCTGCACCAAAGATATTATGCAACTGGTAAAATTATTATAAACAAACACAGATGTCTACAGAATCTCCTTAAAGCTACATTTTTAACAAAACATAATGTTAAATCTAACTAAAAAAGCAATACCTCATAAATGTGTGATATTTTGCCGCATAAGGGACAATCTAAAGCCGGTGACGGATGAACTGATATTTATAATGTTGTTTTACGAATATGTCATGAAATGGAATATTGAGGTTTTCCTTGTGTCTAGACACAATATCCCTATAGCCCTGCTGATTGATTAAACCGCAACATCACATGTCTTTTTTATATGAATGTTACTACATCTATAGATCTTATATTGTCGCTTTGGATGCAAGGGCCTTAAAGTCAGGGCTAAATTATAGCTGTTCTGGGTGCAGGAGACGGGGAAGGGGCTAAGGAAATTTCTTCCCTTCACCTTCCTGCAAAAAACTAATAATAATAATGATAATAATAGCTATTTTCCTTTTCTTTCAGAAAGTCTGAGGATGAGGCAGTGTTCAGACATTATTGTCACTTGGGAAATTAAGGGGAATGGGGTTGGGTTGAGTTATTTTGACCTTGGTTATGGGATTGGAGGGGCTGTGTCAGGGGTGTGGAGGGAAGTTACTCTGAACATGACGAGAAACTTTTAAGGCATTCTCTTTGGATGCTGAGGAGATAAGGGGTTGGAGTCTTGCGTTCTGAAACAGAAATTATTGTCTCTTTTGTATCATGTATTGGCTTTGTTTGGATATGACCAGGGAGGGAAGGATTAGATATATGAGAAATAAACAAGATTCTGTAAAATGTTGGAAACCTTTTTAGGATGATAAATACACATATTTGTCATCATATATATATGAGTTCTATAAACTGTATGTCTTTAGTCCAATGAAGAAAATGTCAACTGGGCTTCCATTTCCTTGATAAATTGACATATACCAATGGACCTTAGAACAAACTTCTAGCATTGTAACATCCCATGGACAAGTCAGAAACATTTTTGTTTTAATTGTTGAAGAAATACTACTCACAAACAATCACTTTTGTCATCATATGAACTTTAAAGACGATAAGAATTTGTTTCATGCAAATCAATGACCTTGACCTTGGAGCTTCAACATCATCCACAAGCAATTTTTTTCACAAAGGGAAGCAATGTATTAGAATATTGTGCAAAGCCCTATTTTCTATCATAGAAACAAAGACCTTTGCCACTGTACTTCAAACTTAAAATTTGTGCAAAAATCAGTGTCTAATTGGTAGCATATTGTACCTTTGATCTAAACATCCATTTCTAGAAAAATATTTCTATCAGATATTTATCACAACAGAATGTCAAAGTTTTCATAATAAAGAAAGTAAATATCATTCAATGTGTAAATTCTTAATTCTAATATCACATAAAGCACTGATCTGCTTAAAGTATTAAAATGTTTGTGAAAAAAGTACTGTATTTCTGGGTTAGAAGTCGCACCAGTATATAAGCGGCTGAGCCACTTTTTGCCGAATTTTTCGATTTTATCCACATATAAAGGAACACTGGAATATAAGCCGCATCCTTTCTTACAATGTGGTATCTGTTAGGTTGACCATAGGATGTTGATATAACTGACCACAGAGGGCAATTTATTTGCTGTAAGATATTTTATCGATGTGATCATTGTAATAAAGTTTTATTATTATTATTATTATTATCAAGCGAATGAATTATACACATTTCATCATTTGTTTTATTGATCTATTTCAAAAAATGTAAAATAGAAGATATCAAACTCATTTGGCTTGGGTACCTTCACAGATTGTCTACGCACAGATATAGGGCCTGACACTATGTACGGTTTACAACAGAATCTCTCCATCAGTGTATTTATTGTAAAATATGAAAGATGGCCCTTGTATGCTGACCAAATTCTTTCAGTCCCATATTATTTCTTCTTGTAAGTTACAAAACTGGCTGTCATTCTAGAATTTGACCTTTAACCCAATGACCTAATGATCCCAGGATGCAACAGGCTATTGTAAACTCCCACTATGGCTTCAAAATAACCGCAGAAGTCTAGAAGATATTATTGTGATTCATATGAACAGGTATCATTAATCAAACCCATAAGAATGTAATTTTCATCTCAATCTTCAAATCATCCGTTAAAGGATTGCAAATGACGGCTCTAGATGATCTATTTCAGTCACAAACACGTTATGTACAGGTTCGTGTAAAAAATACTCAGTACCATCTCATATTGGTACACTTCCTGTTTTTTTTCATCCTGCCAATTCTTTTTTCTTCCACATATCAGCCGCATAAGTATATAAACCGCACGCCCGACTCACGAGGGAAAAGGTGCGGCTAATAATCTGACAAATAAGGTACGTTATTTATAAACTTTTTGTTGGTTACACTTTTGCTAAAATTCATTTTCTTTTTTTTTATTCATATATTTATTTTCATTTGTTTGTTTATTTTTTTGTTTAGTTTCTTTCTTTCAAAATAAGAAGAAAAATCACGATGATGCAAACCAGGGTATGTTTTTCCCATCACCAGATTCATTTTACATACTAATGATGCGGAATCCTACAACATAAAGACATTAATCATCACTCCAGATCTATTGTGATGACTATATGATTGAGTTTCTATGGAAATGTTGATTGTATTACCCACATGGTATAAAAACAATCACAACTGTCAGTCTTTGAAATCTATCCTACACTAGCAATATAACTCCCTCTATGTATACTGATCATATTAAAACAAGTATTTACACTAATCTTTTCTACTTAACTTATTAATTCTAAACGATTTGGGAGGTTAGTTCTTAGTATCTTTCTAAAATCACCAAAGCAGCATGTGTATTCATTTAATAAAAGCTTCATATGTGCATGTCAGGTCCCCCCCTCCCTCTCCCTCCCTCCACCCCCCCTTCATATATTTTTCTTTTTTTTTTCTTTTTTTTATCCTTTATATTTTTTTAAAGATAATGAGAAAAAACATTTCCTGGACAATATAGGTTAACGATGTAAATGTACTTTTGGAGAACTAAACAGTGCTCAGACATCAACTATCCACTTTAATCTGAATCAATTCTACAATCATTTGGGGAAAGCAGTACACATGCACTCAAACACACAATAATTAAGTTTCCTGTAATGAGGCTAGGTAAACCTTAACTATAGCTATGAACTGATGGAGAAGTCCTTTACTGGTATTCCGGGATAAAAACATCAGACTGTGATATATTGAGGGCTGCTACATCAGATGAAACTGAAAACAATGGTTATCATTGCCACCCAACCATCTACCATCAAACAGGCCCAAAACACCAATGTCTTACAAGATTACCTCCTCATTGTTATTAAGAAAGCATCTGTTCTAAAAGTGAAAAAAATATTGCCAAAACTTGCTGGACATGCAAAACTGATAAAAATCACTCTTCACTGCATTAATTGAGGAAATAGAATATTCCTGGATTACCTGAGTTTGGAATAGAGAGTTATATCTTTTAACTCCAAGGAGACATATGATATGAAAGGTCACAGTTTACACAGAAAGACAAGCAAAATAGCAATAACTGCAAAATTGATAATAAAAGTTTTAGAATGTTTTAAATACAAATATCAAGCTAGATAATGCTATGACATTTCTTAACTTAAACCTTAACAGTTATACATAAATTAACATTCTGAAGTTTGCTAGGGATAAGAAAAAACATCAATGTTTCTGATCCAGGGCGAGATATTACCCCTTTAATCATGCACAAATACCCAAGACAGGTATGAAATGTATAAAATTCCATTTAAATATATGCAATATTTAAATTTAAATGAGGCATATCTTTTTAAAAAAAAAAAGTGTACTAATAAATTAATTAAGATCAAGAGCCATTGATCATCAGAAAAAATGTGAAATCCATAAAGTTATATATATTAACATGATAAAGTGCCAATCTAATAAAGGAATGGTAGGCTGGAAAGGGCAAAATAAAACAGATTTTGGCCCCTGTGTATGTATCTACTGAATTCTTCAGCCGATGTCTTGACAAAATTACTTTCAATACAATTAACTTTTCTCTTGCTTTACAATGAAAGGGACTGAAAAATAATTTTGACTCGAAAAAAATTTTGACTCAATGAAATTCAAGTCATCTGAACTAAAATGACCGATGTGATGAAGATGACAAAAAATTGAGCCTTGAAAATTATTTCAACTCAAATGGAAATTAGACTCAAGAGATTTTCGAGACAAAAAGTTTCAACTGTATCTTCAAAGTTTTATCAAAATTGGTTCTGAACTTTTGAAAACACCGAGTCTGCAGAAAAATTTTTAAACGTTAAAACAAGTACTGGATGAGATATTCTTTTCATGGGAACAGCTGAGTCGCTATGTCTACCAGTGACAACAAAAATCTCAATATCATCATAATGGACACTGCTGCCATGCATGCACAAATTGTTTGATGAGTATGATGAACACAAAATTTTAATTCAAGTGTGCTATTAGTCAAACAGTATTGCAGGAGGAAATATTTGACAGAGACATACTTAATCAGGGTACAACACTTGTATTGTGGAGGTGGAAGGGGAGGTCAGACAAGCAATATATACATATCATTTCATAAAAGAAAAACAAATCTTACACCCACTCATTGACCACACACTTTATAATTTCATCTTTATTTTACATCTGTGACATATGAAAGGTCACTTGAACTAAGAATATATGTATGGGGATAGAATAAATTTTGGGGCTGCTTGAAGGTGTGGTCTCTAAACAGTACATAGTCAAGGGTACTTAAGTGTCTTTAAAAGGGTGATGTGGTGGAGGGAAGATGAGGAGGGGAGCTGTTGAAGCTTAAATACAGAAATTATGTCTTATCATATATACCTGAAGATGTTGGCTCCTGACTAGACATGGCTAAGAGTGACGAAGTCTCTAAAGAGGGGTGATGATGATGGTGGGAAAGCTCCAAGTGTGGCAGTGGCGGAGACTTGTTGGTGGTGGTTGTGGAGACATTTGTGTGGGGGTCACCTTCACTGCTGTGGGGACTGGGCAGTGAGGGCTCACTACCCAGACCTCGATCTACTGTGTCTGGACTCTGTCGTACATCAATCATTTTTAGCCCCTCTGCTGTCCACTTTATTTGTAAACCTGAAATTAAAAAAAGATTTGATCTCATTCTGTAATATACAATTGTTATATCTATTTCTGTATAGAGTAGTCTTTCATCAACATTTAGTAACAATTTACAGTATTTATCTGAAAATAACCACATGCCTGCCAATAAACTTGTCTACAGTTAATGACTTTCAGTAAAATTACCAATAAATATTATATCCTTGCCTTATAATAAGCCCCTGTCACTAATGTAACATGTTACTCAGTAGAACTATCAACCATCGCTATCTTTGTGTCCTGTAATAAGCCCAGTCTTTGGCTTTGAGTAATAGGTAATGTGTTGATACCAGTGGCTTATTGCAAGATAAATACAGTAAAAATGGTAAAATCCTACATGACATGTGAAACATATATAGTTCAAATTATCTACAGAATGTCAGGTGATATGTGAAACATACATAGTTCAAATTATCTACAGAATGTCAGGTGATATGTGAAACAGGCACTGTTAGAGTCATCTACAGAATGTCAGGTGATATGTGAAACAGGCACTGCTGGAGTCATCTACAGAATGTCAGGTGATATGTGAAACAGGCACTGTTAGTGTTATCTCCAGAATGTCAGGTGATATGTGAAACAGGCACTGTTAGAGTCATCTACAGAATGTCAGGTGATATGTGAAACAGGCACTGTTAGAATCATCTACAGAATATCAGGTGATATATGAAACAGGCACTGTAAGTGTTATCTCCAGAATGTCAGGTGATATGTGAAACAGGCACTGCTGGAGTCATCTACAAAATGTCAGGTGATATGTGAAACATACACTGTTAGTGTTATCTACAGAATGTCAGGTGATATGTGAAACAGGCACTGCTGGAGTCATCTACAGAATGTCAGGTGATATGTGAAACAGGCACTGCTGGAGTCATCTACAGAATGTCAGGTGATATGTGAAACAAGCACTGCTGGAGTCATCTACAGAATGTCAGGTGATATGTGAAACAGGCACTGTTAGTGTTATCTCCAGAATGTCAGGTGATATGTGAAACAGGCACTGTTAGAGTCATCTACAGAATGTCAGGTGATATGTGAAACAGGCACTGTTAGAATCATCTACAGAATATCAGGTGATATATGAAACAGGCACTGCTGGAGTCATCTACAGAATGTCAGGTGATATGTGAAACATACATAGTTCAAATCATCTACAGAATGTCAGGTGATATGTGAAACAGGCACTGTTAGTGTTATCTCCAGAATGTCAGGTGATATGTGAAACAGGCACTGCTGGAGTCATCTACAGAATGTCAGGTGATATGTGAAACAGGCACTGTTAGAGTCATCTATAGAATGTCAGGTGATATGTGAAACATACATAGTTCAAATCATCTACAGAATGTCAGGTGATATGTGAAACAAACACTGACAGAGTAATGTACGAAATGTTTGATGATGTGTGAAACAGACACAGAATCATCTACAGAAAGACACTGCTGGAGGTACTGAACACCTACTCTAATCATTAAATCAAATGTACATTAACATTCTTGTTGTACTTTCAATTAAAGTGATTTTAATCTGAACGAGATCCGAGACAGCATGTACTGTAACAAAACTAAATGACTCACTTTGTATGTATATAAGGTCAATATATGTAAATAAAAACTTAAATATGCATATCATTTAAATCTGTTATCAAATTCCAGGTATGATCAAGTTTTTAGATTGAAATTTTCTAGAAACAAGTTGTTCACTGATAAGCTTAATTCTAGCTAAAATGAGTCTATAAAATTTACATCTTTTCAGTATATTTGTTTTTAGAGAAATTTGATCAGATTGACTTATAGAAGAACTTTTACAATGTTTTTCACATTATCAAATCACAAAAGGCACACAATCACAAAATATTCATTGATGATCAAACATCATATAACAATGATCGACCCATGGTAATATCATGCCACATAGTCAAGGTGACCTACCTTGTAATTTCATCGACACATATGATTCAGATCTGTATTTGGGATTTCCCAAAACATGTTGACTAAAGGTGTACACATTTCGTAATACAGGGATGGACTATTATAAATATATAGCTATGTTACAGTTCTTCACAAGTGTTATAGTTTCTCCCTCATTCTTAATCATGGCATTTATAAACTGTATTTGTAATTTTTAGCATTTTGCATTATCTACACTGAGTAGAATTTCAAGTCCAGTTAATCAGCACTTTAATAGTATGTTCTAGGGTAGTTAATAGTGAATAGATTTTAAACCAAACCCACTGAAGTATTTAACCCATTTTAACAAAACCACAGTGACGTCAGTATTACCTTGTTCTGTATTTTGACTATGTTGAATTCACTACAGGGCAACAAACGAGGTCGCTAGGTGTAAATGACACACATGTAATACAAAGTTGTTCAATCATATTCATCCTCTTTTGCCTATAATTTAATACAGATCTCGGTCAAAGACTTAATTACTTAATGACAAACAACCAAAAAATTAAATCTTTTGTATATATTCAAAATTTTTAAAAATTCAAAGTTGAATGATTGCACCGATTTAAAACATTCACCTGAATAAAAAAATGGAAACAACATTTGAAAAAAAAAAAAATTAAAATCTGCTCAAAACACTAATTTTCAAAATAAGCATGACTCTTCAAGCTGACCAAACATTTCAGAACTGGTAGAGAGGCATAACTTTAATTTATAAACCAGCTCCTTACAGAACAGGTCAAACTAGTATACACTATGCATTATACATAAGTGCCTGTAAATACAGGGCATGGAATTCAGGCAACAAATTCAAGTTCTGTTACTATAACTTTAAACAAGTGTTAATTGTCAACCAGACAACACAAAGTGTGACATCATCCCCCACACCCAGTGGTTTAAAGAAAAACAATCATGCATCGCGCCACTTAGTGTCCTTGGCTCGGTTATAACCACTACTGTTACTGATAATTTGATGAAATATATCTTTTTCTGTTTATGTTTTTGAGTAAGGTTCAGCATTATTTGCAAATCAAAATGATTACATAATCAATTACCTAAAATTTGTTACAGGATATAAAATATCAGGGTTACTTATAAACTGTGAAAACTCGCTATCTGAATTTTTTGGCCAGGAATGAAGTGAATAGATTACCTAGAAACCACTTAATAATTATAAAATTGGAACTCAAAGATAAGTTTGACAAATAAAAGGCATTCAAGCTGTGATTACAGGAATTTGGGTTTTGCTGTAGTTTAACTACATCAAAACAAACTTGCCCCTTAATGTCAAGTCTGATCACAGACATTACTGAAGTGGTATTTACCACGAATCATATTCACAATGATGTTTCAACCTTCTCCAGAAATAACAAAATGCAATACCTTTCCTCTTTTGTCTTATTTCTACTTAAAACATACACTTTTATACAAAAATTCATAAGAAAAACACATTTTGTAGTGAAAAGTCACTATTTATTAGTCAACAATGTTTCAGATAACTTTGTTTTCACATTGTTAGCCAGAAGTGCATAACTTTATAGTATGTGAGACACTGTCTGATTGATTTAGTTATGTTTGGGTAAAGTGCCTAATATATATCCTTACAAAACTCCTAGGAGATACAGACGGAAAACATCTATGCTGGTATCATGTAAAACTTTCATGACAGTCTTAAGAGAACAATCTGCTTCCATGATGTGACCTTGAATTTGCTAATCTTCAAACTAAAATGACACATGGATTTCCCTGCAGACAGATCAGAAAATATTTGTGGCTATAAAACTTCTGGTTCGTGTATTGGACAAAAAGGTTGCTTTAAAAATTAGCATTAAATCGGCACCAGTTTTTCTTTCTGATTTATAATAAAGAAATCACAGAGAGACATTAAACAATTATATTACCAAAAAGCATCATTGAAGCACACATAAAAGACACATAACTCCACATCACTAGATACAATACCTGACAATGTTGTCTCCCAGTAATGCTAATGTTCCTCGTACGAAAATATCACGCAAAATTCGTTAGATTCTACGTACAAGAGCCTTTCAGAAAATAGCCCAAGAAAACACTAGACATGACTGGCCTTGGTTTTGACACATCACTCAACTGGTGTCTGCCCATCAAGGTGCCATGACCAGGATATCTTTAAGAGATATTGGGAAACATAGCAAGACACCATTTAACTCTAATAGATCAATGACCCACAGAACTAAAATAGTCCGGTCATGTTCATAAAGATATGGAAGGGAGATATTTCAGCACGCCTTTCTTTTTTTTGAGTTTTTAATAAGCAGAAAGTCATGAATTATATATAAAAAACCCACACATATCATTGTGTATTACAGAAATAACATTTAAATGGAATATAATTTTCCAATTAAGAGATTTTTCTGCAGGATTTCAATTATTTCTTTATTATCAAATGTAGATCTATATCAGAAAGGAATTTTACTTTTCTCAACTTTGACCTTCCTACAACACTGTTCACCATTGCCGTTTCACAATGCATATCTGTATTATGTGTAGATATAATTTCACCATTAGTAGATTGTTACACATTCATTATACACCAACAGCTCACCTGGGTATTAATTAAAAAAAATAACTTCATTATGAAATCATGCATTGTTTATAACCAAGATACCTGAGTGTAGCCTTAATTAATATAGCCAATGACTTTTGAAATTTCATCATGTAACATCTGGTTAAAGTCTCTGTCAAACCGTTTTGAAAGACACTCTTGTTAATACTAGCCACAATATACAGGTCAGTAAAAGAAAATTCAAAGTTCTCTTTCATGTATTAAGTGGAATTAAAGACAAGGAAGCAAGACGACCTGGTTTTTATCCTTAGCAGATACATTGAAATAGATAATGACCTCTGTTTCACTGGCGCCATGTAAGGACTTGGGGAAATCATGACAAAATCCTAAGCCTTGTGCCACAACCATTACTAATTATACCTGGAATATTGAGAAGAGGGGAATATGTCATTTCCTAAAAATAAGCTGTAACATACTACTAA